AAAATTGTATAGAACTATCTCTACTTGCAGCTGACACCATTATTTACGCTAAAATGCACTTCGGATGTTATTACCAAGGTGCTGTCTTCTGTATCTTTCTATGTAGGACGTATAATAGAGTTTAACACATTCTATGTTAAAATTGAAGCTGTAAGTTGATGATTTTTAGAATATAAACTATATAGGATTAATCTGTTTACCAAATAATGTTTTATAACAAAATGTTACTAAATATATGTATACAACAATAGTATATAAAGTTAATAAAATGGCAGATAAAAAAGTTACTAACGGAGCTTCAATATATACATAACAACTTAAAGGATAAAAATGAAATTGCTATTGTAAAAAAATATAGTCGTATTGCGAAACGTTACACAATTGCGATTACAGGTAGGACAATGTTTAGTGATTTTTGCATGGATAATAATTCTAATTTATATTTCAAATCTAATAATATACTGTGAAGGAAAATCATTTTTAGCATAATAATTTGATTATAACTTTCATATTAGTATATGTTATAATATGAAATGACTGTAGTATATTAACTCGATTATAACTTTTACACCTATATTTATATATAATTTATTACATGAATCTATTGAATCAATAATCATGAAAATGTACTTGCAATAATAAAAGAGAATAATACATAGTTTCAACTTTAAAATCAAATTTGCGTTTGAGTCTATTATAAATATTTTTCCTTAATATCCATACGTGCACATAAAATAATTATATAATATTACACATTTATGAATTTAAATGACATTTTTTATGTTTCGTAGTATTAGCAGTTTTTGGAGTTTCTTTTAGCATTATAATTCAATTTCGGGCAAAACTATTGAATGTTATTGTACCCATCAATATATCTCAACCGTATCAGTTTCCTGTTTTGATAGAATACTTTGTCGACCAAGAAAAATACTTCTATTTGATTATATTGCACATATACGTAACAGTTTGCATTGTTGCAATTATAATGGTAGCAACTGGTACAATATACATTACTTGCATTCAACACACCTGTGGAATGTTTAGAATTGCTAGGTAGATGTTACAATATGGATAAGAATAAATTATAAAAATCCAATAAATATCTAGTGAAACTAGTGCACAAAATGAATTATTTTTATATAATATGATATAATATGCATATAAAATTTGTTTGTAGAGCTTTGTTTTTAACTGAAAATGGTGTCATTTAATAAATTGTTATATAATTATAATTATCATTATAACAATATTTGTAGCTACCGTATTGAGCATGCAATGAATTTCAACAATTTACAAAATATTACACTAGAAAATGAGATTTTGATGACCAATGGTATAATTTATGCGGTAAACATGCAGCGGCAATCTATGAGGTATGTATTTACGTTGATAATATTCAAGCAGTATGTTCAGTAACATTTTTTATTTTCGAAGATTGACCATGAACTTGTTGTCAGTAGTGGATGTGATGATAGCTTGTTTAATAGCGTGTGGCGTTATTTGCATAAGCATCAATTTGTTTTATGTATGTTTTTGATTTATGTTTTATATAATAATATATAAGAGTCGTTTCGAAATTTTATGCATATTAACAATACAATACCAAGAAGTACATATGTCTAGAAAATTGATTCCTTTGATTTTTCAGATTGCATCATCTGGGTATAATGTTATAGAATTGTTTTTTTCGTTTAGCTATATATTTATTTATTTCTTGTATATGCTTATATCCAACTATATTGGGCAGACTGTAATGGATCATAGTAATAACGTATTTTCTACTGCGTAAGAAAGATGAGAATATATGTATAAGAGTTTATTTTTTAAGAGTTATTAAATTAAATACAAATTAATATCACTATAAAATAAATCAATGTTTGCTAAAGTTGTAGTAACTAATATAAATGTCTTTCTCAATTTACAATTCAGTATCTATATACAATTTCATAGATACAAAGTACAGTGGTATAGAGCGCCTATACACTTACAAAAGATGATATTATTCCTGTTACAAAGAGAAACCAAGGAGTTTACTTTGACTGTTGGTGGATTATTTATTGCGTCTATGGAAGGTTTTGCCATGGTAAGAAAATGTAAAATATCCCAAAAATACCATATTATTGCAGTAATGGATATTATAAAAAAAGATGTCATTAATTACAGCTGATTAAAGCTTCGGTATCGTACTTTACTGTCATATATTCTACACAATGATGAAGCAAATATAAATTGATCAGTGTCAGTATGGTAAAAATTATAATTAACAAAAAAGTAACAGTATTTATGTTTCGAAAATATGTACAAATATTAATTTTTGAAAAACGTGGTTTAGATATTTGTGAAAAGCTGATAAATATATAGAATATAATCAAGATTAGAATTATTCAAATCAAGATATTAGTACATTAGGTTTCTATGGTGCATTAAAATCATGTATCTTTTTGATGTATTTTAAATAAAACCAAAGATGTGTATATTTATTTTACTGTACTTCTAAATATGATGGTTATACACATTGTGTAATTTTTTATTAAACATTATATACTATCCTCATATATTTTATTTCGCATTAACGATTGTATAAATCTTACAATTAATTAGAGGCTATGTCATGTCGGTTAGGTTAGGTTGGATGTTGATAACCTAGCAAAAATATTGTAGCATCTGTGATTCGTTTCGTCCTGTGTTGTCTCGTATCCACGGTCAAGTACACTTATTGTCAGATAAAAAGAACTTTCACATTTACAGTAGTTTTATAATTCAGGAAAAGTATCGGATACGTTCGTTCGATTTAATGTCTCAATGACTACTAACCATGGCGTTTATTAACATTGTTTGTCAAGAAATGCCGCGCGTCTTCTTCTTTAAAAGTAGTTTAACATAGTGCGAATCCAAGGGCTGTCTCAAATGCGGACGTGACAACATTTCTGTGTGAATAATATACATTTTCCGACTCACAATCAGTAAACTGCGTGCCAATTATTTGTAGATCTTAAACATAAATTTTGTTGGAACAATAAATTCACATACCTACATCTATAATAAATTTAATTTTTGATGCTAATAAACATTCTACATTATTGTAAAGAATTTATTGTAAAAAATATCACCCCAGGATTCGAATCTTCCTATTGTACAATCCATGATAGGCGGTTTAAAAATTTAATCACACTGAAGCATGTGGTGATATTTATCGCAATGACCAGTAAATAATAAGAAGAATGTTTTTGTTTCAAGGAACGTAATTAATCATATAAATTATATAAATATTTTAGTTTTTTAATAAATATACACGTATAGTAAAAAAAACATAAAAAGTACAAGAACATGACTAATAATAGATGTAGAAAACTAAATACATATATAGATAACATATAATAAGTAACATGTTGGTGTTTAATATTTCTTAAAAATATTATTCGCGCTAATTTGATATTGAAGTATCGCATATTTTTATCTACTTGTATCATTTTTAAATTATAATTTTACCAAGTAGCGTCGACATATTAAAGAATATTTCGGAGAGTATTTCTGTCAGAAAACAAGTATCCTACGAGTGCACGTACTAAAATGAAGTTAATTCTTAAACTAACAACAAGTCATATACAAATCTAATATCTTGCGCGTGTTGGATTTAAATTTACTTTTTCCTATTCAAGAAACATATATTACCAGATGGAACTTATATAAGTAATACATTGTTAATGTTAGTATCTCTCAAATGTCAAGTTTCACTTTTTTATAATATATTACATATAGAATTACATATGTTTTACAGAAAACATGAAAAATAAAATTATCTCTGTGCTTTGAGGAAAGAATTATGTTACCTTCAATAACAACTTGAAGAATTCAGCAACACTGAAGGAATGAATGTTTTCCTATAGATGAAACGTATCTTATGAGAACACAAGTGTGAATGAGGTCTGGTAGAATGGTAAATACGCTTGCGCAGTTCTCCTGTAGTTTCTGCGCAAGTCATTCTTTCAGAGAGTTCTTTTTGCGTTTCTTATGATAAAGAAAAATATCCGTTAAATTTCTATGGCACTACATCGATCGCTTAATTGTAGACCTCATTCTGAGAAACGCTATTAAAGTGCGAGTGTTCCGATCTCACGACAGTGTCATGTGCTGTATATACAAATCAAATTACGAAAATTGTATTAAAATTTACGCCAGAAGAAAAGAGGGATATCTAGCCTATAGATAAAAAACAGGGAATAAAACATTCTATTCCTTTGCAGTCGTGTTCTGAAGTTCATGGAGAGATGATTTGTATCAAGACTCATTATTTCAGTCTTAACAGGATTTTACTGCTCGTTACAGGCTTCTGTTTTTACAAATAATTGAAATTCGTTCGTTTTCAGCTTATCTTTTTCCTTAATACTTTGACGAGCTGCTTTATCTCAAGAAAGGTGATATCTTAACATTATTATTATATGACAAATTGCAAGAAATTGATATTTATAGTGACCTTTTTTTATTAACACATAATTAATATTACATTATGTTTGAAATTATTATATACTATCTATATTATAATTATTTAGAGGTACATTTTTTTCATTTACTGTATATAAAAGCACAATTAGTAATATAGAACTTATAATTAAAATTTATCGTTTATAGTTTATCAGACTTTTAACTATTATATGTTATATAATATACAGCAATTTTTTAGACATAATACCAATAAGTCACTGGAATAAATTCTTGAACTGATAAGTGAAAAATTTTATCAGGTTTTATCAGCAATTTTATCAGCAATTTTAGCAGATGTACAATGATGTAAAGGATTAAAATGCAAGAGTAATAATAAAATGTGAGTTTCTAATCTTAGTGTTCAAACCTGATAATGGATAATTTTGCGTATAAACAACATTTGGAAAATTGGATTAACATTTAGATGAAAAGCCATAAAATATCTAATTGCTGTATGCAGGAAAGAGGAAATAAACATACCTTTAATCTTTTTGTGATCGTATTTTGTAGATCTCGAAGAAATGATCTGTGTCGAGGAACAATATTTTAACCTTAATAAAATTCTCTTACTCGCTGTGGGTTTATGGCCTTATCAGCGAACAAACTTCGTCCGATTTCAATTAATTTTCTTCCTGGGTATTCTCATAACTGCTGTTTTATTTCAAGTAAGAAGATATTCCTTTCTTAAAATAGTATTATTTAAGATAAGCTATTTTGTAATTTACATTACATCTTTTATCATATGGGGAGGAGTTTGTTTGCTTACATTTCTGATTGTCTACAATCATATTAATATATTATTGTGCATATACATATAATACGAGCATACGCTTGTGTACATGGCTTTATTACACACATGACACTATTGCACACATGCAAAATGCTCCGAGTACATTTTTCTCAAAACTGGTTTTCTGCCAAAGTTTATGTGACTCCTTTTACAGATTCTGTCTTAATTGATGAACATTATGCAAAATGAGAATTTAAGAATTAGCCGTACGGAGCAAACATAATTTATAATGCACTGTGCAACATGCGGACCAATACATAATTTATTAATTACATCTGCAGTTGTAATTAACATAATCGATGCCGTTCGATAACATCATTGTGCATATATGTATTACATACGTGGACTTTATTGCACATATATACATTACATATATACGTACATTACAAAATTAAAAATCTAATGGGATGGATTTTTTTATTGCATGGAAAGTTTTAAAACTACGTGGAATTGTACAACAATGGAAATAATTTCGACCCAAAAGCACGGGTTGGTGTGGACCTTACTTTGAGTGGAAAGTAGCACACCAATGTGAAACCGTACAAGGGTGGAAGTAGTCTCGTCCCAAAAGTAGGGGTCGGTATGAAGTGGACCTCGCTTCGAGTGCAAACCCATGTGGAACTGAACAAATGATTCCACAAGAAATACGTGGATGGGAGAAGTGCGGAGCCCTTTCTCCTGTACTTCTCTCCACCCAACAAAAAAACTAACTCATCAAAAACTAATTAACTTGATCTAACCCAAATCTAAGTCTATGAATGTGAGGTGAACCATTGAATTAATTTTGTTAATAACTTTTTAATGAACAATGTGCGACGGCTATCGAAAGTTACTCAGGAGGATGACCTCTATGATATGTCAAGGTCAAGGTCAATTAGATCAAGGAGACGTTAACCTTAATGAAATATTTACCGTGTTAATATAATTTTCTTATTTTATGAGCAATATGGTCATGCATGTAATGTGTATGTATGCATACACGTAATAATGTCATGTGTACGATCTGCATGTATATGTATATGTATAATAATTAACGTTATGTGTAAATGTGTATATGTGCAACAAAATCGTGTGTGCAAAATGTAAATATGATTTTCTTATTTTATATGTGCGCAATAATATCATGTGAGCAATGTGTTTCTGCTTAATAAGGCCATATGCACAAACGTACGTTTGTATTACATGTACGCGATAATGCTTGCAGGCAACCGCTCTGTAGGTAATCGACAAATGAAACTGTCGACAAAATGTTGTGGGCAAACGAAGCTGTTGGCAATCGGGAATGTAAGCAAACGGGATCCCCCAAGATGTTCCACATTCATTATCATGTAACATTCTAGTAGTCTTTTGAGGAATAATTATATAGAAAAAATGCTGTTGAATTAAAAAAACAGTTTATCACACATTTTTAAACAAACAAGTAAAATTTGTAATAAAATAAAAATTTAAAGTAATTCATAAAATTTTAAGTAATTTGTATGTAATAATTAAACTCTATCATTGATAATCAACTAACATGTAACTGATTATTAAAATGTATACAACATATACATAGATGCAGTATATAAAGTAGTATTATATAGGGTAGGCCATTTTAATGTATCCACTAAAATATCTCAAAATCTATAAAGTTTATGACAAAAATGTTTCAGACAAAAGTTGTATGGTTTCGAGAGGGACATAAGATGGTATCATTAATTTGACCTCGAAAGCAAACAACTTTTGTCTGAAACATTTTTGTCTTAAACTTATAGACTTTGAGATATTTTAGTGGATACATTAAAATGGCCTACCCTGTATGTATAGTATGTCAGCAGAGTAAAGAAATCAATAACCCGAACCGTGAAAATCAATATTGGAGACAGATACACATGTACAAGTAATAACAGAACTATAGTAATAAAGTTTAAAAAATACTATTTGATTATTTTGATTGCTTACAATTTAGAAACTTTTGCAATTTTGATTTTTATAATTTTTTATTAAAATCCATGGTCTATTCAAGTACTGTACAATAATCATAGGACTTATACATATAGTTGTCTTTTCGTGAAATTATTATACATAAAGAAACAATTAAGCCAATTTATAAGTTAATAAATTTATAAAAAATAGATTTTTAAAACACAAACGTTTTAATAAAATAATTCCTTACAGTTGAGTGTGTTTTTAACTTCAAACCAATCTTCGTATCTCATTATCAGAATTCTCTCTATGGCATCTTTCTTTTCTACATTTGTAGTAAAATACGTCTCCTTTATTTTTAATATGGAAGCTGTAAGTTAAAGACTTCATTGAATTAACATGTTTGATAAAATTTATACTCAACAACTTGTAAAAAGTGTACATAAAGAAAATATAAAATGTTACTGAACTGACAGATGAAGAATTTATTGGCCCAACTTCAACATATATACAACAATCTAAAAGATGAATATGAAAACTTTATTATAGAAAAGTACAGTTACACTGCTAAATGGTATACGGTTATACTTACAAGTAAGGTAAATTTTTTATTTTACATCACACACACTACACTTTCTCATCCTACACATTTAATAAAAGAAAAGAATAATTTGGATATTTTTATATGCAGAAATTTCTATGAAAACTTTTTTGTAACTGTTTATAGCAATTGGCATTTGTAGTGTATTTACTCTTATCGTCGTCCAATTTTGGTCCAATATCTACGACGTCGTGTTATTGAAAAATGTATCTCAGTCTCGTCATTTGCTTATTACAACAGAATATTTTATCGATCGAGAAGAACATTTTTATTTTATTGCATTGCATATATATGCAGCCGTTTGCATAGGAAGTACAACGGTACTAGCGGTAGGAACAATACTTATAGCATATCTTCAACACACCTGCGGAATGTTTAGGATCTCAAGGTATGAAATGAGGAGGCTGAGAAAAATATAAAAAAGACTAAACTTATAGATAAATTAAATTATATTTACTTTGGATAAACGTGAAAATAAAATTTACTTCTAGAAAACACAAAACATAAGCTACTTGATAAATACATTCTTTATAGTTACCGTATTAAACGCGTAATGAAGATTAATATGCTACAAAATAATACTTTAGAGAACAAGAATTTGATATTTCAAGGAATAATATGTGCCATCGATATTCATCGGCAAGCAATGAAGTTAGTAACATAAAATATACATAGAAAATTATAAAATAATTTATATGTATAATAATATATATAATATTATTATATGTATACAGAATGATGGCCTAAGGACCATCCGTACATCTAATAATATCTTGTAAATGACATAGTTTTATGACAAATTGTTTATACAAAAATTTGTATCAAAAAGTTGTAGGGTTTTAAGTGACACAAAAAATATTAGTACGATCTTAAATAACGTTGTCACAGTCACGTAAAGATTGCTTTGAAAGTTTTTAAATGAAAACCGTTATTTTTTATTATACCATCTTCTACTAATTAATTTGAACAACTCGTGTCAAAAAACATTATTTTATTTGTTCAATATTATGTGAGATATTAAGAAAACTTCGACATTTTTTAATAACTTATGATTACGTATCTTATGATATCTTGATAACTTTCGAAAACTCTAATGAAATTTCAAAGTTATCATGTTAATAAAAGTTGAGGCACTATTGTAATGGCATATTCTTGAGTAAAATCAAAAAGTTGCCCATCACTTTTCTCTCCAACAATAGTTATCAAAAACTTCTGTATCGAAAATTTTTCACGAAAATGTGTCATTTACAAGATATTTTAGATGTACGGATGGTCTTGAACATCCGCATATTATATAATGTATACACATATGTATAATATTATTATATATAATTATATGTATAATCATATAGGGTGTTAGTGAATGTTTGGGACTTTTTTGTGTAGATAGAGCGGACAAAACTGATTCAAACAGTTTTTTACCATTTTGCAATTTTCGCAATAGTCAACGAGTTATTAATTATAAAATATATTATAATTATAAAATATCACCGTCTTAACTCGGCCTACCGTCCAGTACAAGCGCACGGCGAGATGCAATCGGACCGCGCTGGAGCTTTGCTAGGCCCGGGGGAGTTGTTTATTAAAAACGACAATAACTACATATCATAAACAACTCTCCGCGTGCCTAGCAATGTCGGTCGCAGGCCAGCCACATCTTGCCGCGTGCTTACGCTGAACAGTAGGCCGGGTTAAGACATTTATTTTTTATAATTAATAACTTGTTAACTATTGCAAGAATTGCAAAATGGAAGAAGACTTCTCGACTCAGTTTGGTCCACTCTATCTACACAAAAGGTCCCAAACATTCACTGACACTCTGCATAATAACAGATTTATTTATGTTTGAAGATTGTCTGAATTGTTGGTATACAAATTTGAGACAATGCTGTTCTGCTTAATAGCAATTGGTGTAATGTCTTTAAGCCTTAACCTCTTCCAAGTAAGTCGCAATCCTCTATCAAATCTCTATATTTGAAGGATATGTCATTTTATAATTTATTATCCCGTACTGGCATAGAGAGTAGGACTGGTGATTTTCTTCGAAGGCTTCGACATTCGAACTTTCGAAGCTTCGAAGCTATCAAAAGTAACAGCCCTAATAGAGAAAATGTGCTGCCTTTAATACTTATGATTTAATATTTTCACATAAAAACTCACGTATAAATTTTTTATATAAATATTAGTCAAAATTTTTATCATTTTATTTTATTATTTAGCATATTTCACCATTTATATAATGTAATATATTTCGTAAAATAAAGTAATTTGCTAAAACATAAACGCAAATAAATAGTGTGTTTACGAAATTTGAATATTACTTTTTTTCAGATTAGTACATCTGAAAATAACAATATCAACGATTATTTTTTCCCCATTCTATTCGTAATGGTCAGTATTTTATATATGTTTGTTGCCAACTATGTTGGGCAAGATGTTATGGATCACACTAAATACCTATTCGTTACTGCGTAAGAGATTTTTTATGAGATATTATATGTATGTATGCATATGTATATGTGCATGTATAGTTTATTTATCTTGAAAGTAAACACAAATGCTTTGTTAAGCATTTATAAGCATAATATAAATGAATAAAGTATACTAAATATTGTTTATGTATTTCTTTTTCTTTTTCAAAATATCGTTTTTTCAATTTATTATTTTATTTTTAATCAAATTTCCATTTTATATATAGGTACAGCGTTCCATGGTATCGAGCTCCCTTATATATACAAAGAATTATGCTTTTTGTGTTGCAAAGAGGCACAAAAAATTTTACTTTAACAGTTGGTGGATTATTTATTGGATCGTTAGAGTGTTTTGCGACGGTAAGAAAGTAATATATTATGTGTTGGAATATATTTGAAATAACATAATATAAATGAATATACTAAATAATAACATTTTTTACAGCTAGTGAAGGCTTCGGTATCTTACTTTACTGTTATGCATTCTATACAGTAACAAACCAAAAATTAAATCAGATTAAATAAGAATATAACAAATCTACATAATTAATTAATATAATTCCTGATATTTTTATTTCATATTTCTTATATTAAAATTAGTATAAAAAATACAATACAATTTTACAATTTTTAGTATATTAATTCAAATTAATTCAAAATATTGTTTACAAAATATTAAATATTTTAAATATAATTTAATTGGTTAGTTCAGGAAACACATAAGTCTCATTTTTCAAATTTTACAAGAGAGCAATAAAACTGTACAATTAGCTACTTCAAAAACCTTATTTCATACGGTTTCTTGTGCTCAATTCTTGAAGCTACTCTACAAACCGTAATCTGATAATAATTGTTTATTGATTATTACATACATTTTTTAAATTTAAAACTAGATTTAACTTTTGTTGTTTCTACACGCAATGAATAATAACTTTAGGTGAAATAATTTTTATTCTTAAAATTGTTCTATTATTTGTAATAGTTTATTACTAAATGGAAAAAAAATACAAAACACATGAAACACGTAAATTTGTCGGTACATTATTTTCAGACAAATAATTATTGTCATTAACATATTTTTAAATATTTGAGTTTAAATTGTTTGTTAATAAGTTAGTAGAATTATGAAAAACATAGAAAAGTACTTAAATCTATTCGCCCGCTTTGATAAAGAAAGAAAAAAGAATATGTATTACTTTCAATAATTTGAAACGTTTAATAATACTTAAGGCTGAAGGGGTGAACATTCCTCTTATAGATGAAACTCTTACGAGTGCGCGAGCAAGAATAAAACATGTAAAAGTATGAATTTTAAGTGCTTAACACGCCTGCGCAACTTTTGTATTGTTCTCGCAGAAATAGTTCTTTCAGGAGTAATTTTCTCATGAGAAAGAGAACATCTGCTAAATTTCACTGGTATTAAATCGATCGCTTAATCATAGATTTTTTTTAGAAATATTATTAAAATGCGAATATTTTAATCCTACAGTAGTTTCTCGTGTCATCTTGTGTATGGACGACATTAAAAAAATTACATTAAAATTTATACTGTAAGAGAGTAGTCATAGAATATTTGGTCGATAAAGGTAAAAGGGAGGGAGTGATGCCTTTGACATCTTTGCAGTCATATTTTGGAGGTCGCAAAGAAATGATCTCTGTCGAAGCACAATATTTTAGTCTTAATAAGATACTTTTACTCGCGGTAGGCTTGTGGCCTTATCAACGAACAAAATTCGTCCAATTTCGGTTTACTTTCTTTTTGACTATTCTTACAACTGCTATTTTATTTCAAGTAAGAAAATATTTTTTCTATATTATAACTTTAATATCATAATTTAAATTAAGAAATAATGATTTCCTAGATGTATGTATAATAATTACGTTACAATTATACAAAATATTCCATATTTATGATGCAACACTCTAACAGTTACTATAAGCAGTTTTGAAAGTGTTAAAGTTAATTTCCGAATTATAAGTGATTAAAGCATTGAACATCTATAAGATTTGACTACTTAGGTGTAAAATTAAAAACTTTATAATTTTTGTAAAGAAAAGAAAAGAGGATCGATTAACTGCAGAAAATATAAACATGTAATTCAAAATTGAACATTTATTTAAATCAGGAAATATTTTTTCTCTTCACATGTAAAAATTTAGAAAGGAAAATAATAAATTAATTTGTTTATTAAAGTAAATATGCAGACAAAGTTTATTCTTCCAATGGAAATATATATTTAATTATTTTTAATATATCTAATAATTCTCTTTACACAACCGGTTAAAAATTTTTTATAATTTGCATGTAACAAGTAAACCTTGTCACTGACAATTAACTTGCTAGTGTATACAACTGATTATTAAAATATATACAACACGTACATACATAAATGCAATGTACATACAGGGAATCGACATTATATGTCAATGGAGCAAAGAAAATCAATATTACCTTAGATGAGATAATCAATATTTAATGTTAGATATGCGTATACGAATAATAGCAGAATTAAATTGGCAAAAATTTACTATTTACTCATTTTAATTGCTTACAATTTGGAAATTCTTATAATTGTTTTATAATTTTCAACTTTTATTAAAATCCCTGTTTTATTTAGATATCATGTAGTATAATAGTTGTAAGACATCTTGTATATAATTATTATTACCTTTTTATAAAATTATTGTAAATGAACAAGTCTATAATTAAAACATTATTAAATGTATATAAAAGACAAAATTTTAAATACATGCGTTTAATAAAATTATTTCATGCAGTGTACCGCATTGTTAACTTCAAAATGTACTTTGGATCTTGTTATCAAGATTTTATCTGCCGTGTTTTTCTTTACTATCTTCGTGATACAATACATCTCATTTGCTTTTAATATGGAAGCTGTAAGTTAAAAACTCATTCACTTGATTAAATTAATATTAGTGACAAATTTTTATATTTAACAAGTTTTGTACTGAAAAAAATGCGCAAAGGTAGTATAAAAAGTTACTGGATCGACAGGTAAAGAATTTATTGATGCAACTTCAGGATGTACACGATAAACTACAAGATGAATATGAAAATGCTATTATGGAAAAGTATGGCTATACTGGAAAATGTTACACGGTTAGACTTACAAGTAAGATAATATTTTTTATGTTTGCATTTGATTATAGCTCTTCTTGTTCACATACAAGTTAAGACTTCAGTAGAAGATAAATTAATCTTGACAAATAACAATAATTTTAATTGCACATATGTATATGTATGATGTATCGTTCCATTAAATTACACGTTTTACGTATTATAAGTGAGATAATGATTTGCAATAAAGATATTTAAGTCAAATATAAAGAATAAAATTTTTAAGTAGAATTATGTGTACGTATACAGAATATTTTATAATAAGTGTGTCACTAACAGAGGATAGAGCGGATCAAACTGAGTAGAAAAACTCTGCACCATTTTACAATTATGACAATAAATAAGTTATTAATTAATAAAGACAGCATTCTACAAACCAGCGTGCGTTTGTGCGCACGCATTTGACGACAAGAGACGGTCCAGGCAGTTCAGCATTTATATTGTTAGACGAGACATTGGGAGAAGCGCTGTATACAGGGTGCTACGCAACATATTGACTTCCGGTCATGGGAAGGTAGAGGGGACTAAGACAAACAGAAAAGTATTGTACTATTTTGCGCTTGGACGAATAGTTATCGAGATACAAAATTTTAAAAATCGCCGTATTAGCCCAACCTACTGGCGAATGTAAGCGCGCGGTGAGATGCGTCGGCATAGCAGCCCCGCGCGGGGAGATGTGCGAGCGGTCGCGTAAGCGGCGGACGGGCAGCGGCGCGCCTCGCCTCCCTACTCCTCGCCCCGCACCGCCATTCTATTCCTCGCCGCACACCGCCTCGAGCGGGGCCGCTAGGCCGACGCATCTCACCGCGCGCTTACATTCGCCAGTAGGTTGGGCTAATACGGCGATTTTTAAAATT